AGACCCCACAAGACATTCGCTTCCTCCTCCTGTGTGTCTCTTTCTTGGACCTGCCCGGAGACTTGGCCCTCCTCCTCCTCCTCCTCCTCCTCCTCCTCCTCCTCCTCCTCCACTCCTCCTCCTCCTCCTCCTCCTCCCGGGGCTGGACGCTCCCATGGCCCTCTCTTCCCGACGCTCCCTCTGCTCGCCTCATCCCTTTTGAGATGTACTTTTTGTCCAATAAACGTATCAAAACAAAAGAAGAAGAAAAAAAAAATGTCTGCTTGGCTCGGCTTCTTGGACAGGCCTACGTCCGGCGGATCCTCGCGTCCTCTGCGCCTCCGATGGAGCCCCGGACTTCATTTTCAGTGAATGACAGTCAAGCCCGTCTTATCCGAAAGCCGCATGTTCTCCCGCAGGATCCTCGTCCTCCTGTCCCCCGGGCGACGTGCGTGTGTCGTTCCCGAAGCACGTCCGTAACTGTGACTAAAACTCCCACTGCTATTGAAGACCCCTTTCTTGTAAGCGTGCATCCGCGTCGAGCTACCTATTGTTCTCTCATTCGCCCGAGAAAGTACGGACCCCGAGTGCCCCTATCTTCCCCCCCCCTCCCCCTCACCTTTCCCCCTTTCTGCCCCTCCCCCGCGAAATAACCTTCCATGCAGACTCGAATTTCTCGGGCTCGTCGTGGCGGTGCGGCCGTGAGCCATCCCCGTCCTCGTCCTCCGCAATTTGCTCGTCTCCTCGTCACTCCCAATGACGTCTGTACCGAGTCTTTGTCTTCCTTCGGCAAGCATCAGCGGTTACATCTCCCGAGACGTCCCGCGTTCCCTACAGGCGCGCGCGAAGGACTCTCTTCCCTTCTTCTTTCTCCCTACTCTTCTCTTTCTCTTTTTTCCGCGCCGGGAGTGCAGGAGGCGCGCGAAGGACTCTCTTCCCTTCTTCTCTCTCTACTCTTCTTTCTAGGAGTGCACGCGCGAAGGACTCTCTTCTTCTTCTTTCTCCTACTCTTCTCTTTCTCTTTTCCGCGCCGAGGAGTGCAGGAGGCGCGCGAAGGACTCTCTTCCTTCTTCTTTCTCCATACTCTTCTCTTTCTCTTTCCCGCGCGAAAGGACTCTCTTCCCTTCTTCTTTCTCCCTACTCTTCTCTTTCTTTTTTTTCCGCGCGAAGGACTCTCCTCCCTTCTTCTTTCTCCCTACTCTTCTCTTTCTTTTTTTCCGCGCGAAGGACTCTCCTCACTCTTTCTCTTTCTTTTTTTTCCGCGCGAAGGACTCTCTTCCTTTCTTCTTTCTCCCTACTCTTCTCTTTCTTTTTTTTGCGCCGAGGAGTGCAGGAGGCGCGCGAAGGACTCTCTTCCCTTCTTCTTTCTCCCTACTCTTCTCTTTCTCTTTTTTCCGCGCCGAGGAGTGCAGGAGGCGCGCGAAGGACTCTCTTCCCTTCTTCTTTCTCCCTACTCTTTCTCTTCTCTTTCCGCGCGAAGGACTCTTTCCCTTCTTCACTCTTCTCTTTCTCTTTTTTCCGCGCCGAGGAGTGCAGGAGGCGCGCGAAGGACTCTCTTCCCTTCTTCTTTCTCCCTACTCTTCTCTTTCTCTTTTTTTCCGCGCGAAGGACTCTCTTCCCTTCTTCTTTCTCCCTACTCTTCTCTTTCTTTTTTCCGCGCCGAGGAGTGCAGGAGGCGCGCGAAGGACTCTCTTCCCTTCTTCTTTCTCCCTACTCTTCTCTTTCTTTTTTTTCCGCGCGAAGGACTCTCTCCCTTCTTCTTTCTCCCTACTCTTCTCTTTCTCTTTTTTCCGCGCGAAGGACTCTCTTCCCTTCTTCTTTCTCCCTACTCTTCTCTTTCTCTTTTTTCCGCGCGAAGGACTCTCTCGCGCGAAGGACTCTCTTCCCTTCTTCTTTCTCCCTACTCTTCTCTTTCTCTTTTTTTCCGCGCGAAGGACTCTCTTCCCTTCTTCTTTCTCCCTACTCTTCTCTTTCTCTTTTTTCCGCGCGAAGACTCTCTTCCTTCTTCTTTCTCCTACTCTTCTCTTTCTCTTTTTTCCGCGCGAAGGACTCTCTTCCTTCTCTTTCTTCTTCGCGCGAAGGACTCTTTCCCTTCTTCTTCTCCCTACTCTTCTCTTTCTCTTTTTTCCGCGCGAAGGACTCTCTTCCCTTCTTCTTTCTCCCTACTCTTCTCTTTCTTTTTTTTCCGCGCGAAGGACTCTCTTCCCTTCTTCTTTCTCCCTACTCTTCTCTTTCTTTTTTTCCGCGCGAAGGACTCTCTCCCTTCTTCTTTCTCCCTACTCTTCTCTTTCTCTTTTTCCCCGCGCCGAGGAGTGCAGGAGGCGCGCGAAGGACTCTCTTCCCTTCTTCTTTCTCCCTACTCTTCTCTTTCTTTTTTTTTCCGCGCGAAGGACTCTCTTCCCTTCTTCTTTCTCCCTACTCTTCTCTTTCTCTTTTTTCCCCGCGCCGAGGAGTGCAGGAGGCGCGCGAAGGACTCTCTTCCCTTCTTCTTTCTCCCTACTCTTCTCTTTCTTTTTTTTCCGCGCGAAGGACTCTCTTCCCTTCTTCTTTCTCCTACTCTTCTCTTTCTCTTTTTTCCCCGCGCCGAGGAGTGCAGGAGGCGCGCGAAGGTCCCCTGCGAGAGCTTCATGCAGGTGAGTCGTTCCCGCTCACCCGCATGACTGATCCCAACATTACCCAGGGGATAATTACGTAAAATTAAGACCTGGCCGCGGTGGGTGGCCGCCCCGCTGATGTCTTCATCACCGACCTCCTCTTGCCAGCTGTACGATGATGATAATGCTGCACCGGGGCATGGGTCCTCCCTCCCTTCCCTCTCCCTCTCCTCCTGCCCGGGTCTGCCCGGGTCCTCCCCCCCCCTCTCCTTACCTGCCCGGGTCCTCCCCTTCCCCCCCTCTCCTTACCTGCCCGGGTCTCCCTTCCCCTCTCCTTACCCCTCCCCTCCCCCTCTCCTTACCTGCCCGGGCCTCCCTCCCCTCTCCTTACCTGCCGGGTCCTCCCCTTCCCCCTTCCTTACCTGCCCGAGTCCCCCTTCCCTCTCCTTACCTGCCTGGGCCTCCCCCCCGCTCCTCACCTGCCCACTACCCCCTCTCCCCCCTCACCCCCTCCCTCTCTCCACCGCCATTGTTCTCAGCTTCTACTACTTTGTTCTTTAGTGTTGCTCGATTTTCTGAATATGTTAGAGAAGTGCGTGTGCGTGTGTGCGTGTGTGTGTGTGTGTGTGTGTGTGTGTGTGTGTGTGTGTGTGTGTGTGTGTGTGTGCGTGTGCGTGTGTGTGTACGACAGGCTCCCTTTTCGGTTCCCTGTGATTGTGCGTGTTCATCAGTATCTCTGTGTGGCGCGGGAGGAATCACACAGCCTGGGCGGCGATCGGAAATGAAGAAAGAAAAAGAAGAGAAGGGGAGGAGGAGGAGGAGGAGGAGGGAGGGAGGGAGGAGGAGGAGGAGGAGGGAGAGGAGAGGAGGAGGGAGAGGGAGAGGAGAGGAGAGGAGGAGGAGAGAAGAGGAGAGAGAGGAGGAGAGAGGAGGAGAGAAGGAGGAGGAGGAGGAGGAGAGAGAGAGAGAGGAGAGAGGAGGAGAGAGAGGGAGGGAGGCAGGGGGCGCCTCACCTGGCTAAGTGGAGGGAGGCCCGCCAACGTTTTTCTGGCGGTGTGTTCCAGGTAGAGCGGCGGGCGGAGCGGCGCTCTGGGTGGCCTTTCCTTGATGTCTTAATCCGCGCTCGCTCGGCGCAAAGAAGGCGCAAGCCACGTCTCACCCCCGCTCGCCTCCTCGCCTCCTCGCTTCCTCCCTCGGACCCGCTGCCCCGCCCGCCCCGCCCGCCCCGCCCGCCCCTCTGCCAGGCTGCGGCGCCCTGGCATGCCCTCCTCCACTGCCATGGTGCCCTCTGCGTTGCCATGGTGCTCAGCCTGCCATTGTCGAGTGCCATAACTCCCTCCCTCCCCCCTCCCTTTTTCCTATCTTCGACACTCCGTTATCTCTTCCTTCTCCATTCTCCCCTACGCTAACCGAGGTCGCAACGAGTATACGGCACAATCCGCATTATCTCCTCGCCCCTTCGTCTTCCTTAGCCTCACATACTCTCCCCCTCTTTCTCCTCTTCTCATCCTCGCCAAAGCAATAATCAGCAAGTTACCGACACCCCATTATAAATGTTCCGATCGTTTATTACAGGGTTTGGCGGGCTTTTTTTTTTCTCTGGCAGGTCGGAACCTCCTCCGCAATAGCCCTCTAGCGGCCGCTCTGCTAACTGAAGAAATGAAATTGTCGAATTGATATGGCTTATTACCCCCCGAGCTCTCTGGGGACGTAATGCGACAGGCTGACGTGCGCCGAGAACAAAACGTGAGGGACGAAAATGAAATAAACAGATTGCGGGAAGAAGGAGAGGGAGGAGGATGAGAGAAAGGAGATTCATTCTTTTTTTTTTTCTTTTTTTTTTTTGCTTCTTGGCTTTGTTTTGCTTGGACTTTGCAACAGCTTCGGTAATATGTTTTTTTTTTTTTCGCTGTATTCAGAAAGAAAAAGGAAAATAAGGAGAATTTATTGATCCAAAGAGGAAACGAAGACAAAGGTGGAGCGAGTGGACCACCTGGCGGCAAGCAACGACAGCTGGTGAAGCATTTACCCCGACAAATACACACGGACACGCACACGCACGTGCAAGCAAACAAAGCAACAAAACAAAGAACACACATAAACATATTTTTTCTAAATAGGAAAACGAACGAGGAAAAAAACAAACGACAAAGAAAGGGAAAAGGAGAGAAGAGGAAATAACAGAAAGACACCGATAATTTCTAAACAGGAAAATGAACGAGTGAAACAAACGACAAAGAAAGGGGAAAATGAGAAGAGGCAGTAACAAAAGGACACCGAACGAGAGAAACACAAACGACAAAGAAAGGGGAAAAGGAGAGAAGAGGCAAATAACAGCAGGACACCGAACGAGAAAACACAAACGACAAAGAAAGGGGAAAAAGGAGAGAAGAGGTAAATAACAGCAAGAAACCAACAAGTACTCACGGTAAGGTGACGGGGTTCTCCGGTCCCAGAAGCTTCGATCCCTCCCAGAAGCAGTCCAGGGGCGTGATGATAGCGCAGGGGGTGATCTTCTCGAAAATCTGAGGAGGGGGGGGGAAGGAGGAGGAGGAAGGGGATAAGACGAAGGAGAGAAGGAGAGAGAGAAAAAAAAACAAATATTAGGAAATTAAAAATCCACGTCACAATGGGGGAAATGATTGCACACCTCACGTGTAGGTTTGCCACGTTCATATCCACTTTTCCCTTCATAAACCCTTCATTTGCAATCTCCCTGACCAAAGGGTGGAATTGCAACTGGACCGAGAGGAGCTGCGAGAAGGAATAGGGAAGATGGACAGAAGGAGAGAGAGAAAGGGAAAGAGAGATGCGAGAGAAATAGAGATAGATGGATAGATAGATAGATAGAGGGAAAGAGATGGAAATGCTTGGGCGAAAATATGAAGAGAAGAAAGAGAAAGAAAAGAGAAGAGAGAGAGAGAGAGAGAGAGAGAGAGAGAGAGAGAGAGAGAGAGAGAGAGAGAGAGACAGAGAGAAAGAGAGACAGAGAGAAAGAGACAGAGAAAGAGAGACAGAGAAGAGACAGAGAGGAAAGAAAAAAATATAGAAAGAACGAGAGAAAGAAAGAAAGAAAGAAAGACAGAAAGAAAGACAAAATAGAAACGCACAAAATATCAAACAGCTCGAAACGTCAAATAACAGCGCCAAGAAACCCCCAAAAGAAACCTCACCAGCTCTAACGTGTAATCTTCCACCTCGGGTAGACTCGGGGCGAAGCAGAGGTCCTTCAGACTCCATGATCTGGAACAAAAACAAAAGAAAACAATAATAACAATTCAGATTTCAGTTGAAAAGAAATACAAACAAAAGAAAACAATAATAACAATTCAGAATTCAGTTGAAAAGAACAATTCAAACAAAGAAAACAATAATAACAATTCAGGATTTCAGTTGAAAAGAACAATTCAAAAAAAAACAATAATAACAATCAGAATTTCAGTTGAAAAGAACAATCAACAAAAGAAACAATAATAACAATTCAGAATATCAGTTGAAAGAACAATTCAAAGAAACAATAATAACAAATCAGAATTTCAGTTGAAAAGAACAATTCAAAAAGAAAACAATAATAACAATCAGAATTTCAGTTGAAAGAACAATTCAAAAAAGAAAACAATAAGAAAAAAGACAATTCAAAAAGAAAACAATAATAACAAATTCAGAATTTCAGTTGAAAAGAACAATTCAAACAAAAGAAAAACAATAATAACAATTCAGAATATCAGTTGAAAAGAAACAATTCAAAAAGAAAACAATAATAACAATTCAGGATTTCAGTTGAAAAGAACAATTCAAACAAAAGAAAACAATAATAACAATTCAGAATTTCAGTTGAAAAGAACAATTCAAACAAAAGAAAACAATAATAACAAATCAGAATTTCAGTTGAAAAGAACAATTCAAACAAAAGAAAACAACAATTCAGAATTTCAGTGAAAAGAACATTCAAACAAAAGAAACAGAAAAAGAACAATTCAAACAAAAGAAAACAATAATTCAGAATTTCAGTTGAAAAGAACAATTCAAACAAAAGAAAACAATAATAACAATTCAGAATTTCAGTTGAAAAAGAACAATTCAAAAAGAAAAATAAACAACAATTCAGATTTTCAGTTGAAAAGAACAATTCAAACAAAGAAAAACAATAATAACAATTCAGAATTTCAGTTGAAAAGAACAATTCAAACAAAAGAAAACAATAATAACAAATTTTCAGTTGAAAGAACAATTCAAACAGTAATAACAATTCAGAAATTTCAGTTGAAAAGAACAATTCAAAACAAAGAAAACAATAATAACAATCAGAATTTCAGTTGAAAAGAACAATTCAAACAAAGAAAACAATAATAACAATTCAGAATTTCAGTTGAAAAGAACAATTCAAAAGAAAAACAATAACAACGAATCAGGATTCACAAAGAACAATAAAACAAAAGAAAACAGATAAACAATTCAGAATTTTCCAGTGAAAAGAAAAAGAACAAATTGAAAAAAAAAAACAATTCAAAAACACAAGAAAAAACAAATAAAACAACAATTCAAAGAAAAAAACAAAGAAAGTTGAATAAAAAGAAACAATAATAACAATTCAGAATTTCAGTTGAAAAGAACAATTCAAAAAGAAAACAATTTCAGAATTTCAGTTGAAAAGAACAATTCAAACAAAAAAACAATATAACAAATCAGAATTTTCAGTTTGAAAAGACAATTCAAACAAAAGAAAACAATAATAACAATTCAGAATTCAGTTGAAAAGAACAATTCAAACAAAGAAAACAATAATAACAATTCAGAATTTCAGTTGAAAAGAACAATTCAAACAAAAGAACAATAATAACAATCAGAATTTCAGTTGAAAAGAACATTCAATCAATCAAATTTCAGTTGAAAAGAACAATTCAAACAAAAGAAAACAATAATAACAAATCAGAATTTCAGTTGAAAAGAACAATTCAAAAAAAAAACAATAACAACAATCAGAATTTCAGTTGAAAAGAACATTTCAAACAAAGAAAAAACAATAATAACAATTCAGATTTCAGTTGAAAAGAAATTCAATAACAACAATTCAGGATTCAGTTGAAAGAACAATTCAAACAAAAGAAACAATAATAACAATTCAGAATTTCAGTTGAAAAGAACATTCAAAAAAAAGAAACAATAATAACAAATCAGATTTCATTCAAGTAATATGAAAGTTGAACATTCAACAAAAGAAAACAATAATAACAATTCAGGATTTCAGTTGAAAAGAACAATGATTTCAGTTGAAGAACAATTCAAACAAAGAAAACAATAATAACAATTCAGAATTTCAGTTGAAAAAGAACAATTCAAACAAAAGAAAACATATAAACAATCAGATTTCAGTTGAAAAGAACAATTCAAACAAAAAAACAATAATAACAATCAGATTTCAGTTGAAAAGAAAATTCAAACAAAGAAAACAATAATAACAAATCAGAATTTCAGTTGAAAAGAACAATTCAAACAAAAGAAAACAATAATAACAATTCATTATTTCAGTTGAAAAGAACAATTCAAACAAAAGAAAACAATAATAACAAATCAGAATTTCAGTTGAAAAGAACAATTCAAACAAAAGAAAACAATAAGAATTTCAGTTTGAAAACAATTCAAACAAAAGAAAAACAATAATAACAATTCAGAATTCAGTTGAAAAGAACAATTCAAACAAGAAACATAATAACAAATTCAGGAATTTCAGTTGAAAGAACCAATAATAACAGAATTTCAGTTGAAAAGAACACTCACAAAGAAAACAATAATAACATCAGTTTCAGTGAAAAGAACAATTCAAACAAAAGAAAACAATAATAACAATTCAGAATTTCAGTTGAAAAGAACAATTCAAACAAAAGAAAACAATAATAACAATTCAGAATTTCAGTTGAAAAGAACGACACAAAATTCAAGGAGATTCATGGACTTTTTAATTCAGAATTTCATGGACTTTTGTTATTCAAAATTTCAAGTGACACAAAATCGTCAAATAAGATATGGACTTTTATTATTCAGGAATTTCAGTTAAAAGAACGACACAAAATCGTCAAATAAGATATTCATGGACTTTTTTTTATCAGATTCAGTTGAAAAAAAAACGACACAAAATCGTCAAATAAGATATCATGGACTTTTTTTTCTTTCTTTTTTATTTTACTTTCTCTATTCAAAGTACGCGAGGTGTGTCTCGTCTTCAAGAAGAAGCACAAGAAGATTATTAGAGAGAAATGTCAGAGATAAACAGGTTTGTTTGCTTATTATCTTCTTCCTTCTTCTCTTTCATCTCCGTCTCATTTTCTCTCATTTTCTTCCTTCCCTTTCCTCTCCTCCCACCCCTTACCTCACCTATTCTCTACTCACCTCCCTTCCCTCCTTTCTCACGCTCCTCTCCATCCCTCCCTTTGCCTTTCTCTCCTATCCTCCCTTCCCTTCTCCTCTCCTACTCCTTCCTCTTCCCCCTTTATGGCCCCCCTTCTTCTCTCCTCTTCCCCTTCCTATCACTCTCCCTCTACCCTCCTCTCCTCCCTCGCCTCTTCCTATCTCCTCCTTCCGTGTTCTCGCTCCCTCTCTCCTCTACTCTCTCGACCTCTCGTCCCTTAATCTCTCCTATCCTCTTCTACCCCTCCTCGCCTCCCATCCTACACTCTCCCCTCTCCCCTCTTGACGTCTCCCCTACCCCCTCCTCCCTCCTCTCTCCCTTCCCTTCCTACCCCCCTACTCTCCCCCCCTCACCCTCCCACCTCGTCCGTCTCCCCTCCCCTCCCTCTCCTCTCCTCCCTCCTCCCTTCTACCCCCTCTCTCCTCCTATCCTCCCCCCTTCCTACCCCCTCCCCTCCCCTCTCCCCCTATCCTTCCTACCCCCTCTCGCCCTCTCGCCCTTCTCCCTCCCTCTCCCTTCTTTCCCCTCTCCCACTCTCCCCTCCTCCCTTCCTACCCCTCTCCCTATCCTTCCCTACCCCCTCCCTCTCCCTTCCTCCTTCCTCTCCCTCTTCCCTCCCCTCTCCCCTCTCTGCCCCTCCCTCCCTCTTCCCTCCTACCCTCCTCTCTTCCTCTCCCTCTCCCCTTCCTACCCCCTCCTCCCTCCTCCCTTCCTCTCCCTCCCCACTTCTCCCTCTCCTCTCCCTCTCCCTCTCTCCTCCCTCCCCCTTCCTACCCCCTCCTCTCTCCCCTTCCTACCCCCTCCCTCTCCCCTTCCTCCCTTCCTCTCCCCTCCCTCCCCTCTTCCCCTCCCCGTCTCCCCTCGTCTCCCCTCCCTTCCTACCTCCCCACTCCCTCCTCCCCTCCCTCCCTCTTCCCTCCCCTCTCCCCTCTCTCCCTCCCCTCTCTTCCCCCTCCAGCCTCCCGGGTGGTCCTCCGACCGCGAACGCGAGGGCTGAAGACCGAGATAAGGCTCGGGCGATCCCTATGTCGGAATGCTGTGTCGGCCGCCGAGGGGAGGCAGGGGAGGGGGGGAGGGGAGGGGGAAGGGGGAGAGGGAGAGGAGGGAGATGGAGGAGGAAGAGAGAAGGAGGAGGGAAGGTGGTGGGAGAGAGGAGGGAGGAGGGAGAGGGAGAGGAGAATGGAGGAGAGAGAGAGGAATGGAGGGAGGGAAGAGAGAGAGAGGAGGGAGGAGGGAGAACGGAGGGAGGGAGGAGGAAGGGAGAGGGGGAAGGGGGAGAGTGAGGAGAGACAGAGGAATGGGAGAGAGAGTGGAAGGTGGTGGGGAGGAGAGGGAGGAGAGAGGGAGGAGAGAGAGGAATGGAGGGATAGAGGGAGGAGAAGGTGGAGGGAGAGAGGAGGGGAAGGTAGGGGGAGAGGGGAGAAAGGTGGTGGAGAGAGGGAGGGAGGAGAAGAGAGAGAGGAATGGAGGGAGAAAGGAGGGGCTTAGGGAGGGAGAAGGGAGGGGAGGGAGGTAGGGGAGAAGAGTGACCTGAGAAAGAGAGAAAGAGAGAGAGAGAGAGAGAAAAATGAGCGAGGAAGAGCGAAAAAAAGGAGAATGAAAAAATAAGAAAAATGAAAAGAAAGCGGGTAAAATAAAATAAAAGAGAGAGAGAGAAACATAAAGAGAGAAATTTTGAGAAATAGTAACAAAGACAGAAACAGAGAGAAAGAAAGACACAAAAAAGAAGAAGGGGAAAGGCATGGCGACGATAAGAGGCGAAGTGGTTATCAGCTGAACCATCTCTCTGCAAGTTGGATGTTGGAGAAGGGGAAGAAGAAGTGGATAAGAGGAAGAA